GATCTGTATATGTATGACTCTCAGCTAAACACCCACCATAATCCATATCAGGCTTGTAAAGCTGAGCAGCAATAATCATTTCAATTTTTCAAACCTTAGACAACAAGGCCAGTGACGGATCTAGGATTTTTCTGAGTAAGGGGCCACAATATTCACAGAGGGGCCAAGTATTTTTTTAACATCCTTAACACAAATCCCTGGTTTTGGTAAGGTGTATACATTTAACCAGTGACACATGTTCAAACACTCAAATAAAACACTTTCAATCACATAACGTGAGAAAATGAAGCCAGCTTTTGTCAGTTGAAAGACTTTTTGCAGGATTGTTCAACTTACTCAATAAAAGAAGATGTCTGTGAGCTTGTTTCGTGCTGGACTTTACTATTTGACTCTTTAGCACCACTAGTGTTTGGACATGGAACTGCATCCACCATCATTGCTCCTGGTGTAAGGACAGATGAGTGACAGGACAGGGGCACTTTCTGGTGGCCAATCAGATTTTAGCTGGGGCCAATGCCCCTGTGCCCCCACCCCTAAAGCCACCCCTGGACAAGGCTTAGATGTTTGCTTACTGAGAGATCTGAGAGAAAATGAGTTTGAATTTGAGTTTTTGAAAAAAAAAAGTTTTAGACTGCTCTAAACGTCTGTAAACCTGCAAAACAGCTGACATTGATCCATAAATTACACACAACTTTACGCAGCAACAAATCTACTGTTTCTTGTGGAGCTGAGGAATCATCACAGCTGAGCTGTTCTGAATTAATCTGCTGAGTCGACATTTTTTTCTCAGAATTAAAAAATGTTTCTTAGACAATTCCTCAGCTGTGTGTGCGCTCCGCAGGCCATGCGCTCTGCGTGTGTTTCCAACTACATGACAACAATATAAAAACGTTTACAGTTTACGACTGGACTGAGGTTCTTTTGATCATTTTTAAACTGATCTATTTTCTTGTCTGAGGTTAAATGATTTTCAGTCCCGGGGTTCAGTTTCATGATCGTTCGAGTTTAAACAATAAAAACTCAAACTAAAATAAAAATCTAACACCGTGTTCAGATGCTCCTTACATCCAGAAAACATCACAGAGTCATATTTCTGTGGATTCAGGTCAGATTTGTAACTTTGTGAGTTAAAACTGTCGACATCAGCAAATCCAATCTGTTAACATTTTAGAGAACAAATCAGTAAAGGAGGAGCAGGTAAGGAAAACGGATGAACATTTTCTTTCTTTACTTCTCTCCAACAGTTTATTTGACATGGTGTAAACTCAGACAGTTAACGAAACTCTTGTAGAAACATACAAAATCTGTACAAAACATTATCATACTGACGTTAAAGTACCCTTAAATAAATATTTTTTAAAAATGTGAATGACTCCCATTTTTTTTAACCCGCTAAAACAGTAGAAGTGACTGGAAACATGTCAACATGGCCAACATCGGGCCTGTATTTCAACTTTTGCTTTTTTAAAGTAAACATAACGAATGAGTCAAATTTCTAGTTAGTTTCAATTGTATATCCTCCAAAAATGTCTTTTCCAAGGTTCTGTTTGTCTGATCCTGTCATATTTGTTTACCTGTAAAGATTACGTGACTTCTTCCATGGGTTTCAGTAGGTTCAGGAAGGGCTTTGTTTGCATTGACAACATTTCATAATTTTACATTAATAAAATCTTAAAAGCTACAGGAGTAAACATTTTATAGATGCACCGTTTGGTAGAGTTCAGAATGACGTTTTAAATGTTTGATTGTTGTGAAATACAGCAGATAAAATAAGTATTGAACACGTCACCATTTGTTTCAGTAAATATATTACTAGAGGTGCTAATGACATGAAATATTCACCAGATGTCGGTAACAACCCAAGTGATCCATACATACAAAGAAATCAAACC